CATCATCATCATCATCATCATCATCATCATCATCATCATCATCATCATCATCATCATAGGGTAGGACTCCAATTCCCAGAACTGGATTAGGGATTCTGCGTATTATAGCCCCCCCCTCCCAAGTTACTTTTCTAAGCTCTGGTAAATATATCCTACAGTATTAGCTTTTTCCCCTCACTTGTGTAAGAGCTGGATCTGATGCTGCCTTACCTCATTCCACCTCCCTTGCTCTGTGCTCTCTTGTCCTCTGCCATTACATGAGTGCAATTGTTCTTGATCTTTTCTACTTCATTTCCCCTTGGCCCCACAATTCTCAGCTTAGAAAGGCCCTGGGGCTTTCTAGGCTTTTAGCTGATGCCAGCAGTCTTGCTCCTTCAGGCTGTCATAAAATTGCTGGTCCATGAAAGACTGGGACAGGTACACATAAGATAAAAGAAAATGGGATAGGAATTGAGTGAGTGTGGGGGAGGGCCGTCTAGTTTTCATATGGTCACAGACCGCAAGTAAATTTCTTGGTATTTCTATAGTATACAGCTAAATTCAAACCCTGACAGTTTTCAAGCCATTCTTACGGATGCCAAGGTAAAAGGCAAATGCCCTCACGGATGCTCTTCCTGTGTGGCATTTTTCAGGCTTAGTTTCATAGTACATGGTGATATTTCTTAATTAGCACAGGTAGAAACTGCCCATCTGAAGGAGGACATTTGGAGACGTTTATGCACTGCTGTGCCTTTTGCAGTCTGGCTGGCAAATGAACCATCTGCATTTCTGAAGTCCATTGCACTCAGGAGGTTCCTCTGGAACCTAGTGGGATCTTAAAAAGAAAACCAATTAATAAATACCCCAGGGAGGACTCCATACATAAAGTGAAAAAGCCAGCCTCTCTCCTGGGTGTTTGCACCATCTGTCTCCCCCACAAGCTGCCAGCAATAAGAACACAGACATGAAACATCCCCTAATAGGTGCCAAACCCCCACAGAGAAAGAATAAAAAATAACCCCCCAAGTGCAGGTTGATAAATAAGTAATCAAAGGTTCCTGAAAGGCCTTGGTAGGCCATGAAGGAGGAGGGCAGGCAAGGAGAGGAAAAACACTAACATGGCTGCCAGGACAGTACAATTTGTAGTCTCTGGCTGTGGTTAAGAAGAGGGGATTCATCTCCAGATAGTCTCCCTTTGTTAACGCCACCATTTACAGGCAAAGAGAAGAAAGCTGTGTTTCTCCAGCATCTCTCATTTATTCCTAGCCTATCCTGCGCCCCCCACACGTCATTTCTGTGCATTTGTGTGTATGTTTGCGTGTCCCTGTCTGCCTTATCTTTTTCAGTCCACGTCTGTCTCCCTGGTCTCTAGCCGCCCCCCTGTCTGCCTGATTCTCCTTCCCCCTTTCCCTCCCCACCCCCCATGATGTGTATCCTCCCTCTTCAGTTCTGGGATCCCGTGGGTGCGCTTTTTATTTCACCCATTGCTTCATCCTTATTCTCGCCCGCCTGCCTCAGCTCAGTGGGGTCTACAGCCAGCTCTCCTGTTGCTCGGGCGATGAGGAGGCAGTTGCTAAGAGACCGTGAAACGTCAGTACCTGGCCCTTAAGGGGGGAAAAAGCATGTGGGGGGGTGAGAGAGAAGGAGGGACGAGGAGGTGGGGAAAGACCTGGCTGAAATGACATGCACATGCACACATGCAGTGCGAGCATCTGCAAGTCCTTAAGAGCCTGGATTTGCAAATCCCCTCCACGTTTCTGCCTTCCTGAAGAACAGAGGAAGGAAGCAGGGAAAGAGGCAGGCACCGTGGAACGGGAAGGAGTAGGCACTGTCACGAAGGAGAAGCACTCTGAACAGGATTGAGGCAGCATAAGTCAGCACCAGAGCTGAGCCGAAATGATCTGAGCTTGAAGATACAGAGATCCTCTTTTCAGAGTAAGTATCTTCTCTTTTTTTGGACAAAAGATGGATGGGCAGCCCGGTGGGGAGAAAAGAAGTGGGGTCGTGAGGGTGCCTGTGTCTCTGTCAGAAAAGTAGGGGCTTGGTGTTCAATATCTTGCATGAGCAGGGTGTGCCTGGGTGAACGGGAATGGCTGCAAATGTATATAAAAATGATAAAATGCAAGCTCTGCAGGCCATCTGGGTACATTGTTTGATTTGTTCAGTATTCAAAATAAAATATTGTGTGTGGAGAGGAAAGGCTGGAGAGAGAGAGAGGAGATGTGCAGGAAGGAGAAAGCTTTGGAAGGAGAGAGGCAACCGAAGGAAAAGACAAGAATGGAAGAGTGGTTAAGGTCAAGGTAAAACATCTGCCCAGCACGAATTGAGGGCTCGGAAATAATTGCATTGAAGAGAGATATAGGGACTCTGAAACACTGAGCCTGTTCTTCAAGAGAATAAAATTTCAGCTTTGAATTTGTGTGGAGGAAGGCCTAAAGCCGTTCGACAGTTCAAGGTGGTGCAAGGAGGTGTGAGTTGCCTCAGCAGACCTCTCTGGATGGGCTGTGCCCTTCAGCTGGGCCTGAAATAGTAGGAGATAATGTAGGCCATTTACTGTATACTGACATGCATTGACAAGACTGTGCATCCTTCCAGCACTATCAGACAACCAGGAATTCAATGCAGGACTAAGATCTATAAGGCCTTCACTAAGCTTAAGCCAAAGCTGAAGCTAATATTTAAATTTGCTTCTTTGGCCTTTATACTAAATTCATTCCACCAGCCAGCCACACATGTGTTTCTTGTTCTCAGTTGTTCTCCGTGCTAAACTGCGTGACTGCAGCAGGAGGAGCTTATGAAGAAAGCAGTGTGAAGCACCCCTTAGCTAAGGGGTCCAAAGAAGTACAAGACTTCAGCAGTGGTTTGTGAAGAGTGCGCAGTGGTTGATCTTGTGAGGGAAGGCAAAGAAGGAGGTAGACTAAAGAGTGGTGTCAGGTTGAATACACGTAAAAGAACAACAAAAAGCAGGGTTGAGAAATGCATAAAAACTGATTAGTGACCTTTTTTCTCCATCTTTAATCCATATTCTCTTTCACTGGCAGGTTGCTCAGCAAGAATCGTACTACCGTCTGTTGGGAGAGGAGGCCAGGATTAAAGGACAGCATCACCCCTTTGCCCTTTTCTTCTATTTAGATGTTGCAGACATTCTTATTCATTCTCATGTCATGGTTTCCAGGTCAGCCTTTCTAAGTAAAGAACACAATGAATCCCTGTAGCCAATTCTTTGGAATTCCGTGGCTTTTCAATATTTCTGAAATATGAAACATTCTCCTAAATAGAACGATGACTGATAACCTTCTTCCCCAACAAGACAAGCCATGGACTCCTAACTGGCTGATGTCCAAGCTGAGTTCTTCCTGACCTTTCCAAGAGGGCTGCACCATTCTGGTTCAGCAGCACACTTGTCAAAGGGATCCTCTCCTGACACAACTTCTTGGGAACTTGAGCGCAAGAGAGTTCTGCAAACTCATGACTTCATTTACGAATGCTCCTTTCATTCTGATACCTTCCATAACGTCTCTAACGTCATTTCTAATTACACTTCTTCTCCCCCAGGAGAAGACTCTTTCAGCTCTGTAGAATTACAGGTGGATCTATTGGGACCGCAAAATTTGTTGGACTGATTGTGTTGTTCTGGTGCGACAAGAACTCCTGCAAGAGGCATCAGCACCAAATGTTCTCAAGAGACAACAAAAAGGTAAAATAATCATAATCATAATCATAATCCAAACGAAACACATTTTCTCTTAATTCAAGCTCAAGAGATTTAATGATCAACAAAACATTGCGTAAAAGCCACCATAGTTATTTACACATGTTTGTTTTTACCATATGTTTTCATTATCTCCATAGACCAAGGCAAGGCCATACATTCATGTAAGTAGGTAGGTTTCTCTTTTGTACTTCATACTCCTACAGGATTTTTTTCAGGCATCTTAATAAATTACTAAAGATCATCAGCTTCTGGCCCAGTTAAAGCTCTTTTGTGATACACACTTCCCCAACAAGTGCCTCAAGATCAGGAGACATGAGGGTTCACTGTCCTACCTTCCTTCCAGCCAGAATGTAGCAGGCTTCCTGTATAGTGGCTCTTATTTGCTGGGCTGTTCTCCCTTCCTGATTGGCCTTCCCTGTGCCATGTAGCTTCTAGCTTGCCAAAATGAGTGCAGACTGCGTCCAGCTGGGAGGAGAGCAGTTTGCACCTCACTGCTACCCTGCCATGATACTGAGCCCTTTCCTTGTAGCAGCAGTGGTGGTCTTTGCCAGTGCTGTGACTGGCTGCCCAGTCCTGTGCACATGCCGGAGCCAGGTTGTGGATTGCAGTGGGCTTCGGCTCTTTTCGGTGCCACCAGATCTTCCGTTGGACACCCAGAACCTAAGCCTGGCTCACAACCGCATCACTACCATTCCTCCTGGATACCTTACCTGCTATACCGAGTTGAGGGTGTTGGATTTGCGAAATAACTCCCTTGTGGAACTACCTGTTGGACTCTTTTTGACATCTAAACGCCTGTCTCACCTGGACTTGAGCTACAACAACCTGACTCACGTGGTGGCCGATATGTTCCAGGAAGCCTACAGTCTGGTGCACATTGACTTGAGCCACAACCCCTGGCTGAGGAAGGTGCACCCCCAGGCTTTCCGGGGCTTGGTCCAACTTCGCGACCTTGATCTCAGCTATGGGGCCCTGTCTTTCCTTAGCCTTGAAGCCCTGGAGGGTCTCACAGGCCTGGTGACACTTCAAATTGGAGGCAATCCCTGGGTTTGCGGTTGTACCATGGAGCCACTGCTGAGGTGGTTGAGAAATAGGATCCAGCGATGCATGTCAGGTAGGTGAAATTGAATGATGGGCCAGTTCTTCACTTCAAACTTGGGATTAGTTCCCTATACAGTACTTAACTCACTATGAACATCTGGGCAAAATGCTAAGCCTGTATCTCAACTCTCTAAAGGAGATATTGTGAGGCTAAGAATGCTAAGCAATATTGTTGATTCATGGAATGGTGACCCTATAAATTACATTTTGGTCTCCCTCCTCCACCCCCTAATTTAGACCTGGTGTGTCAAAAGTTATCTTTTCCCCACACCATTGATTAGGGATTCTAAACCAAACAATTCAATGTCCCAACTACAAATAGAAATGTTTCAAGTTCCATCCAAGTATATATGTGCGTACACATGATATGTACACAGTGAGACAGAGGGTGAGACCATTAAGACATCTCTAGTTTGTTTGAGCCTCAGATACTTTCTATGAAATCTACTAGAAATGACTGCAAGTTAAGGATAGAGCTTGTCTCAGACATGTAGGGAATCATGGCCATAAAGACCTAATTAACCAAGCCATCTGTTGCTGGACCTCTTTCAGACAACCTCTGCACGCACACACCTACCCACCAGACCAGAAGAGAGTCAGTATAAGACCACCCAAGTATATTAGTGTTGAGTGGGAATATTGTGCCTGTAGACCATATTAGCTCAGGAAAGTGCAGTATTACAGTGATACAACACACTGCAGGACCAGTGAAGATTGGTTTTCTGAAGAGTGGGGCCAGATGTTCAAGAGGCTGGTCAAAACCACCAACATGGCATGCGATAAGGAACTTGTACAGTCACTGATGGTTTTTCTAGACTTGCCACTCAGGGTTTTCGGAATCTCATCAGGGCTCATTAGGATCACACAGCTAGAATCCTGGGCCTTGGAGGCACAATTAGTGGCTCAAGAAAGCCTTCCTCAATATGGAATGGTATCCCAAGTGAGACAAAAGACAGCAGTGCATTGCTTCAGCCATGCTTTTAGCCAGGGTTTAAGCCATCACCAACACATAATATGTGATAACTTTCAGCGCAAGTCTTCTCTTGTTAATGCTAATAAAGTTGTGGCTGCGGTTTAGCTATGTGAGGCATCTTGCCTCGCTATTCCAAGTGCACACTGGGACAAAGGGTCATCTTACAGTAGCAGGTTAGGGGGTATAAAGGTGACTGAAAAATCCATCTGGCCAGATGGAGAGGTGGTTGTTTATAGTCTCTACCCCTTTAGTGAGCTAGGAACCACCATCCCTTATACCCTTCAGTTCCAGAGATTTCAAAAAACTTAGTGAGGGTCATTTCCTCCCCATTGTCTGGATGCTACAGATGATTGGCACACACAGGAGAGCTCTTTAAGGGCATAGAGGCATTTGAAAGAATCCTCTAAGTACGTGGGTGAAGGTGGTGGCCATGCTCATGTCATCACGTGATCCGAAGCTACAGACCATAGCTTGGAGAAGTTTCCTTTCTGGACAACACCTCCAGGAATCTCCTCGCTAATATAAGCAATGGCCATGCTGCCTTGTCATTCTGGAAACTGTAGTGGAAGCAAAGAACTTTTCTAAGCAACCAGGTCTCCAAGTGGTTAGGCAGCTCTGTAGGGGATTTCTCAATGGCTGTATTACTATGCTGCAAGTAAGTGGCCTTTTGAGACCACTCAGAAACATGCAATCCATTAAAAGGGGAATGGTGGCATTTATTTATTTATTT